CAAAGCACAGAAATCTCGATTGAAAGGAAAATGATTGATGACAATTATCGCTTAATTCAAGAAAAAATTATTATTTTGAAGTAGAAAAAGAGAAATGTTGATTGCAAGTGAAAATAAATTTGTTCAATTCGAAAGAAAAGTAGTGGATGACGATTATCGTTTAATTTAAAAAAAAATTTATAGTTTTCTGAAACGGAATTAAATTTCCCGGAAATCTAAGAAACAATTCTACAGAGATCTACAGATTGAAAGGAAAATAATGGAAGACAATTATCGTTTAATTTAAGAAAAAATTATTGTGACAGAAGTCTTGATCGCAAATGAAAATAAGTTTCTTCAATTTCGAGAGAAAGAATTATAATCTTGAAAGAAATTTTATCGTTGTGTACACAGTACGTTACGCGGGAGAAAAATATCGAGGAGCGAAGCGAAAAGTAATCTTCGCCAAGTCTAAACGCGTTCCTAAAAATGAAACCAAAGCGGGTGGTCCAGATCCAGAATTTGAGACAAAGAAATTTCGTGGGCTCCGTTCTCGCACGCGACCATCGTTCTTCCTTCACCCTCCCAATTATCCAACCAATCCAACTTAAATCTACCAACATTTGCAATATAATATCACGTTGCTGCCCAGTTTTCGATCGGCCTGAATGAAGAAACGCGATCGTTCGAACGTTTGCCCCAACGAATCACCGTCTGATCTAGCGGCGAATTTTCGCCAATGGGGCGCAACGTGTCGAGAATCTCGGGGAATTCGAAGCTATCCTTTTTCTTTTCGTCTATATCCGCCCGCTGGATTCGTCGAATTCAAACAAGAATTAATCAACGAATAAAATTAAATTATCGAAACGAAATGGGCAAATGACAGAGGTGATGAAATATGCAGCGAATTAAAAATAGAGAAAAGTAGAAAGAGAGAAAGAGAGGGTAGAGGAAGAAGAAACAATAAAAGGCGGGCGTATAAAAAGTTGTGACAAGACGCGGGATTCGATCGGCATCCTCTCGCGAGGATATAGACGTCCATGGTCGATTAAAGCGACCCGACGTGGAGGAAACCCGACCACGATCCCTTCCCTTCCCTCGATCGCGTGTTATATATCGTAACCATCCAAGGATGGCACGCATGAGGAGCGTTCTCCAGTCCAGTGTGCTATGTCGTATAACTCCGGGAAATTCCGGATGCGTTCTTCGACGATCCGCATAATAGACCGAGGGGAAATAAAAGAGGCGGCCGGGCAATCTTCCAATTTTGCCCGGGCAAAACATCGGGTGGACGTGGCGTCCTTCTCCCCGTTTCAACCCATTCGGGACTGGAAATAATGCTTAAAACTTGCGTAAATTTTAACCTTAATGGGGAATATAAATAAAGTTAATGCCCACTTTCTCGGATGTTTTATGGAAACGTGTTCGGGAGAAAAATATGACACGGTATGTAGGAAGGTCTGTGTAAAAAACGGGCGAGTGTATCGAGTGTAGAATATCAAAATCGAATTCGAAAGAATTAAGGGAGAAAAAAAGGATCGATTTGACTTTTTATTGGAAAATTGAATCGAGGATACTTTTCGCGGCGAATATTCGATTATTATCTTTGATTCCTTCGAAATGGGTATCGCGTCATCGTTCTCTGTCCGATTCGGAGAAAGGGAGATTATGCGTGCGCGGGAAATCGAGTATCGATCACCGCACGTCGAGAGAGTGGGGATGAAAAACAAGTAATGGTAGGGTAAGGTGACCGTGGCATAATTCCGCGGCCCCTTTCAATTCATCGGGTGTAACGGAGAGAAGGGAAGAAACACGAAGAAAAGAAGAGTGGCGCGATTATTGAACGCGTTGTATCTCGAGGAAGCCGGATATAAAAAAATAGAGTGAGAAAGGGGAAAAAGAAGGCTATGAAACGATAACGGTAGGAGTTGATAACGAGTCGATCGTCTGGCGCGCATGTCAGAGAAAAATGGAGCGTGAAAATTGCCTCGTTAAAGACACTCTATACTTTATTTTACGATTGGTGAATTTTCTTCTTCGAAAAACGAAGAATTTTTCCATAAAGTTAAAAACCATAAATCGTTTTCCAGATAGGGAAAAAATTCTTCTACTTCTCATGGGGGAGAAATTCCAGACAACGATAAAAGAACGTAGTTACGATATATATATATATATATATGTACATATGAAGAGAAGGGTAGAAAAATTCGGTGGAGAGAAAAATTGTAGCTTTCTGGCTGTAACTGGCTGCTTCTCCGTTCCTCCGGATACCGGGCACGAAAGGAAGGTGGAGGAGCACGGTCCATGTGTTCGTATCACCTGGCCCGCAGTTGCCGGCCGAGTTGCAGCTGCACGCGTGCAACGATACACGGGCACAAAGAGGGGCCCAGGAATCCGGCCGTGGTTTCGGAATGCAAGAGGAAACCGGGGAAAAAGGAAGACGCGGGCGAAGAATCGAGCGAGATTATCGTGCACCGGAACCAACTTTTTACTTCTTTCTTGCGCACGGTTCGTTAATCCAATCGCGCCGAAAAGTCCCTCTCGAGATTACAATTTCAAGATTACAATTAATTTTAATCGAGCAAATAAGATGGAAATCGTTACAGGGCTTCGTATTATAAAGAATTTTTGAATTTCTTATTCCTGGGGATCACTAGAAGTCTAGGGGACTAGAATCTATGCTTCGTTAGAATGTTTTCTTTAATTTTAATCGAGAACAAATGAGACGGAGATTTGGATCGTTACACGTCGATTTCGTAATGGAAAGAATTTTTGACCATTGTTATTTCTAGGGATCACTAGAATCTATGTTTCGTTCGAATATCTTCGACGATCGATTCTAGAAAATTTAATCGTGGATTCGACCATGGATTTTTTTTCGTTTAAATATCGATGAAACAAATTTGTCGATGGAGGCTGTCGTGCGAATCGAGGAGGCGAAAAAATTGGATTTTCGCGCAAGCAGAAGCTGGTCGAAAAGGTTCGGTGGGTGGACCTACCTGGGCAAACAAGGTGCATTCTTCAGTCGACGAACGCGCAACCCACGCGTCTCGTTTGCCATATCAAAGGGGCCGATGTTTCACGTGCACGTACCAACACCACGGTCTTTCCATTCGACTTGCGTGCGCCACCACGGTGTCTACAGTGTCGTCAAATAACTCACGGTGGCATCTCTTCATTTTTTTCGATCCTTCCCTTTTCCCCCGAGACGACATATTTTTGCGGTTTGGTCAACGTGATATTTTTCTTTCTTTCTTTCTTTCGCTTGTCAGAAACTACTTTGAGACAGGTTTTCTTAATTTATTTTCTTAATTTAAAAAAAGAAAGAAAATCACTCGAATCGCGTATAATATCGAGGCAACGAAATACTTGCAATTAGGGCTTACATCATACTTGCGATCGATTGTAATTACTGTGGAAAGAAAAAGATATGGAAGAAAAATAGCTAAGATTATGCGTCTATAACGAGATGAAAATAACTAAAAGGTGCACACGTTTCGTAACGAGGCAGCCTCGTTTCGACGGAGCAATTTCAAACACGCATTCGCGTATATCTTTCCTTCGTATCGCTATACGTGGCTAAAGTTACAGTTAAAGTTCGATTGCAATATCTATATAAAGGGAAATTATCCTATCGATTATTTAATCGAGAAAATTTAAATTTAAAAAAATTTTTTTTTTAATCATTCCATTCTCGAGTATAGATATAATTCCCCAAGTTCCCTAGTGATCCCTAGAAACGGACTATCGAAGGAGAAATATTCTTATCGATGTCTTTCCAAACAAGGACAAATTAAAAACGTAAATTCTTAAACGAGGCCAATTAGGATGTCGGACAAAATCAATCGAATTTGTCGAAGGTATCAAGATCGGGGCGCGTAAATAACTATCCATCTACGCCGAGTATCGAATTTGTGCGGACAAGCGGGCAAGGTGGTTCGCGTTGATATTTGCACCTGTACAAATATGCACTTTCAATCGGCAATCAACGAATCGTGTGAAACGCTTTCCTCCTTCTCTTCGACTTCGTGAACGTAAATCGAGAAGAGGGAGGGAGGGGGGGGGGGAGAGAGAGCATATCTCCAAATAAAAAGCATTAAAAAAAATGGGAGGGAGGGCTGTCAGCAAAGCGACGAATTACGATCGAAACTGGTTCTCCGCGAGGGAACACGAGGCCATTTTATTCCGTTTTTCGAGGGCCGAATTCGTGAAAATTGTTAATCGCCGAAATTGCACTTGATTAACACGTGTTATATAATAACACGCGCACGAAATGATACGATCTCTTTTATCTTTCTCGATCGTTCGAGAAGGGAAAAAATCTTGAAATCTTTTTCAAAAGGAAAAGAGAAAGTAACATAACGACAATTTTGATCGATTACGATTTCCCCAGAATTATAGTTTCGTCTTCCTCTTTTCTTTTTTTCCATCTTACCTTCTTCGAGGACAAAACGGACGAAACTGAATCACCGATTTTGATCTCACCGCGTATCGAGGCATGCGAAAAATACTCACCTGAAAAAAGAAAAATTATTAATCGAATTAGAAACGCGTGAAAAGGTAGAATGTGGAGATCTTAAGAGATTGTATTTTTCAGGGAGGAGCCACGTTTGGAAACTTGTTCTTGAAGAAACTTGAAAAACGGGAGAGAAAAAAGAGAGAGCCGTTTTAATATCTTCACTCACGAGGAATCTTAGGATACGGAAAAATCTCGAATATTCTCAATGAAAACAAGCTCGTAAAGTCGTTCGAATTAATCATTAAACATTCTCGCCATACCAAACGTATAAATAACGTATAAATTATGTGTACAAACGGACGGATTGGCAAGCAACGAATCCAACTTCCTTTTAAGTTTCTTAATTCGAACGCCCTCTTAATGAAAAAAATTCTCGAGATTCTCTTAGAGTTTGTGAAAAGTTGCGAACTCGTGATTTCAACCGACCAACTCGAGGATAGTAATTACCGTCTAATTTCGACGCTCGTTAATAGGAAACGGATCGGTAATTAGCGAGACGCAATGGAGGGGATCGGCGATCTGAGCCGCAGTTATTGTGCCGACCGCAAATTAATTGGCTAGCTCCGCAAACGCGACCATGATCGACAGGGATTCAATCCCCCTAATTATCTAGTCGACAAATTGGCATAATTATCTGGCTACGATACACCGTGACACCGTGCATTAAGCGGTGGTAAAATTTCCCAATGAATACGAATTCGATGGTTAAGCCAATTAACGAAAAAGCCGGATCCAATTTTCTCCGAGTTTGGAAAAAAAAAAGAAAAGGAAAAAAAGAGAGAAAAAAAAAAACTCTTTGAAAATTTAATCAAATGTGGAAAACTTCGAAGATCGAAGGACAAATTTGTTGGCAAAACGAATCGAAAAATGAATTCTTTCCAAGGAAGATACTTTCGAATATCGATCGAGGAACAAATTCATTCGTTTCGAAATCCGCTTATCATCCGCTCGATCCATGCCATTAACGGGCGAAGCGGAATCGAAGGGATAAAACACGATGAAGCGACTAATCTGACGAAGACGATCGAAAAGCAGAGGAAAAAGAAGGGAGGAGAAGGAAAGGGTGGTAAAGCAAGAGGAGCAAAAGGAAGAACGGCGTGAAATGGTGGTCGAGTGGCGCCAGCCAGCAGCTACCTTTTTTCCTTATGTCGTAACAACGCTCTCGCTTCCTCTCGCTTCCTTTTTCACTTCTCCGCGAATCTGGCCCTCCTCGCCCACAATTCTCTCTCTCTTTTTTTTACACTCGAGCAAACTTTTGCACGCGACATTAAGAAGAAGGAACGAAAAAGCGTGACGAAGTGGAGCAAAAGAATTTCGATTTTCATCTTCATCTCGAGAACTTCATCCGAGTAGAGGGGAAAAGAATCGTGGATGTTGGATTGACAGGAAAGAGACAGAAATTGGATAACACTGGACAAATCCTGGATAAATTTCGCGAAACATCAACACGCATTTTTAGACGCGCGAATCGTTAGAGACACCTTTTGTCCGGAATACGAAGCTTAATCCGAAGTTTCGAGATGTGGAATACATCGTTTAAACGGATGCGGTCTATCGTTGACACTTAATTGGATAGCCGCGTGCACGCGGAGGCGGAAAATCGTGGAGGGCGCGCTAATTATTCACCCGTCCGACGTTTCCACCGCGATCGTTCCAAGTAGTTGGCGCAACGCTAACCATTGTCGAACGCACAACTCGACGAGGACGAGGTAAGTCGACTCGCGCACGAGAACGTGTCTGGCAAGGTACTCGAGAGAGAGAGAGAGAGTTTCGCGAAATCCTCTTCCATTCATTCATCACTATTCATCACCCTTGAAAATAATACGAAATTACAATCTCTCTCTGTTTCCCCTCTCGTTTTTCTCCTTCCCAAAAGTGAATTTTTGATCGAGAAATTTTTACGCAATGTCGAGCGAGATTTATTGGCGAATCGTTCCCTTTAATCGATTTAATTCTTGGAGCGTGGATTCGAAGCGTGGTCCGAAAATCAAGTGACACGGTCAAAGGGGGCGGCACTCCAGAGACTTCGAGTGCCATCCAACCATCGCGCTTTGATATTCGCTATGAATCGCGACACATCGGGTGAAGCGCTCCAAGCTTATGCCACGCTTCATCGACAGGCCCTTCTTTCTTTCTTTCTTTCTTTCTTTCTTTCTCATCATGGTGGTTCTCCTCTCCATCCATCAACACGCACGCATGTTTCTCTTCGAGATTAACGCGGTCAACGCTCCTCGCTGCACGTTCAGCCAAAAAATCTTTGTATCTTGAACTCGTGCAATGCAACCGAGAAATTATCCGTCCGTATTTGTTTTAAGAGAAAGGAAGGGGAAAATTTAAATTTATCTTAAATTCCCTCCAGAATATTTTTTATAATATTTATTCTTCGAAATGTTAGTAGATGGACAAAGATCCAACCTGGGCGAAATTACCAAGGTAAAAGAAGAAAAACTATAATATATATTATATATACCCAAGAGGGATCGAATTCCCCTCCGAGTTAATGGAACTTTTCAAAGATGCTCGCTCCCCGACTTCCGCTCACCTGTGCAAGGTTGAGCACCATCCCGCTGGAGCCCAACTCTCCCACGCGTCCACCAATCCGCTCTCTCTCCCTCTCTCCACCGTTTCGTCTCGATCCTCCTCCACCCTCCGGCTAATACTCCCTCCATCCTCGTCCAACCATCGCCTATCTCCTCGGTATGCTTTGAGATCCGCCGCCAGACCCGCCTCTCCCACCCTCGCTCCTCGAACAGCTGATTCGCGAAAGGGGTCAGCCACCCCGAAATCCGTCTCTCTCTCCCTCCCGATATCCGCCACGATGCAACGATTCCTCGATACGTATCCGGCTAACCGATGTTCCGAATACTCGTTTCCTGGCATCGACACTGCCTCGCGCTTATTGAAAACTAGCCGAGAACAGTTTCGAGCGTGATCATATCGATGGATGCGATGGACGGTGAGTGCTGCTGCTAGGTTTTTAGGAAAAATGATGGTAGGATAGATTGTAGCAATATTGTGTAAATAATGCGATTAATAGATTGCGGTAGTTTAATTCCTGGCTATATTATGATTGGATCAATCCTGGAAGAGAAAGAAATCGTTTGATTCGTCGTTCCATTCGTGGTTCTAATATTTCGAGAACAGGAATGAACGTAACGTAATGAAATTCTGGGGCAGTGGTTCTCAATGCCAGGGGAGCGAGAAAAAACTAGAGGAAATTATTTGATATAGAAATGTGAAACAAGGAACGTACGAGAGTGAAGAGTAGATAATCTGGTTAGCGTAACGATAATGTATGATAATGTAATTAGTAAACGGTGCGATTGATAGTTTCCAATCCTGAACGCATTATGATCGGGTCAATTGAAGAAAAAGAATATTGTACATTAGTCGCAATGTGATCTGATATTTCGAGAAGAGGAATGGGCTTAACGATGAAATTCTGGCGCAGTGGTTCCCAATGTTTCGAACTAGAAATACGAGATTCTCGTTATACTCGATTATTGAACGCGGTTAAATAAACGAAACCGTATCGCGTGAGATTCGTTGGAAATAACGTGGATTGATCGGAGTGGGCCACCAGGATATTTGCACGAAGCATCGTTGTTAACGCGAATCGTTAACAAGAATTGCATTCGGTCCGTTTAATCGATGGAATAATAGCGGCCGCTTCGCAAAATTACACCCGCAGAAACCGCGTTTCATCCATTAACCGTTTATCGGTAACCGTATCGTCCGGTTATACGTCCATCGACGGGGATTAAAATCGATTGATTTCCGCGGACACGATTGTCGAAAATATCGAGTGGACGAAGAGATGGCGATTCGTTCGAAACTCGAATACAGAGGAGGGGAGAGAATGGAGGGCGAGTTGAGAACCACGGCACAAGCACAGCAATGTCACTTCCAGAAGCCGTAACTGCTCCTTATCCGAGAGATCTACAAGTTACAAAATACATTAGTCCACCATAAGTAGAAACGCTCGCCGATCTCCGGAACAACCTTCCGTGTGCTTCTCTACAGGCTGATTCACAACGGATAATCGCGATCCGTTTGATAATAATCGGAAATACGAGCAAAAAAAAAAAAAAAAAGAAGAAGAAGAAGAAAAGAAACTC